TTTTTTTTTTTTTTTTTTGAGTTGGAGGCTCATTTGGTAGTCCAGGCTGGAGTGCAGTGGCACACGCACCGCCACCCCAGCACCGGTCTGCTGGGCTCCAGAGATCCTTCCGCCTCAGCCTTCTAAGTAGCCGGAACTACAGGCGCACACTACCATGCTGGGCTAATTTTTTTAAAAATTTTTTTGTAGAAGCGAGGTCTTACCATGTTGCACAGGCTGGTCTCGAACCCATGGGCTCAGGCAATCCTCTTGCCTCAGTTTCCCAAAATGCTGGGATTAGAATATTTTAAAAATTAGTATAAAGCTGGGCTCGGTGGCTCAGCCTGTAATCCCAGCGCTTTGGGAGGCTGAGGTGAATGGATTACCTGAGCCCGCGGGTTCGAGACCCGCCTGGGCAACTTGGCGAGACCTCATCTCTACAATAAATAAAAAAATTAGCCGGGTGTGGTAGCGCACGCCTGTAGTTCCAGCTACTCAGAAGGCTGAGGCGGACGGATCGCCGGAGCCCAGCAGGCGAGGCTGCGGTGGCCGGGAGCCGCCACTGCACTCCAGTCTGGGAGACTGAGTGAGACTCCAACTCAAAAAAAAACAAAAATTAATATAACAAGTCACATAGCACAGAAGTATTTATGTGTCAAGTGATATGATATCTGATACTTGTTTTAAAATAATCCAGTTTAGGGGAAGAGAGGGGATAAAAGAAACAAAATTAGATTGATAATTGTTAAAATTTGATGATGGGTATGTGGGGCTCCATTATTATATAGTTTTTATGTACTTTTCATCTTTATAATGTCCATAATAAGGTTAAAAAAAAAAAAACAGTAATAGGGTGACATAGATTAACTACTGCCTTACACAAGCAAACAACATTTTTATTATACCTTGTATTAAAAATTTTAAAGAGACATGACATACTTGATACTTATACATTTGTATATAATCTGTAAAAGAGTGGTCTTACTTTAAATAGCCGAGTACCCTCTCAACCAAAATAGAAAATTAACAAAAGTATTTAGGCACAAACATGTAAATATACATAGTAAATAGTTGGCTGTATTTCTATCAATTCTCTAAAAATATTTGGTTAAATAATTAATACTCATCTTTTTCAATGTCTTTCTCTTGCCTAATAATTTCTATGATTATAGCATTCTATGGTTTGTTGCCTAGGAAATGAATGGGTTTGTATAGACAAATATGACTCTGCAACATGGTCACAAATTGAACAATATAAATAAAAACGTGCTTAAATTCCCCTCACTCTGGGTCTTGTTTTTAATTATTAGGTGAAAATCTAGCCTCCTGATGTCATAAATATACTTGGAAGACTGAGGCTGAGGCGGAAGGATCGCCTAAGCCCAGCAGGTTGAGAATAGTTTCTCACTTCTAAAAGTTTCTCACTTCAATTGTAGTTCTAAAAAATATTTGATTTTCATACTAATATATAATCTATGAGATTCTTATATGTACAAATATAAGAATATAAGAAAGATAATTTGAGACTCTTTTAAATGCCCTAAATTATACTGTAATAAAATTTAGCTGGTACTATTAAACGAGATGCTATACTAGGCACTTTAAAACACTCTGGCTCACTAAACTTAAAACACAGTTACATATTTATAAAAAAGAATATAAAGTTAAGTGAGGCAAAATCACTTGCCCAAGGTTACAGAACTAATAAGTAGCTAAATTGGATTCAAACTTAAGCTAACTATAGCAGACTACCTCTAAGGAAAGCAAAAATCTACTTAATAAGTCAGACAAATATTTAGAGGTTTTTAAGAGTGGGCCATAAAATGTTATAAATCACTGGTTATGTATATATTTCACAGCGGCAGCTCGGCTTTGCACAAAGAACACTAACTAAAACACAGAAAGTATTGTTTCTGCTACTGTAGGATTTTTTTTTTAAGTCTCTTAATTTCAGCCTCAGTTTCTCATCTCTGTAATGGGAAAATTAGTGTCTTTGCTGTCCGATTCCAGAATTACAAAGATTCAAAGATGATACACATGAAATCACTGCAAAATCTACAAAAATAATACAGTATTTTATGTCTTAAAATGCTAGGAAAAGACACAAAAACAAAAGTTTTCTAAAGTAACTGTTAGCTGTTTAAACTATTCTACAGATTCTATTAACATTTCCAGAACTTTCTAAAGCTCCTTCTTCTAAGCATAGCTCAATCATTCTTATCCTTAAATATAATGCAATCATAATGGCCATCAATGCTTTTGTAATAAATAATTAACATATTTTGAAATGCTCAGCATATAAGGGTTCTAAATTCTGAATTTTCAAACTCTTTTATTTATATTCATCATCTTAAAATTTGGGCCTTTCACATTCAGTATGTGTGTAAAAAAGCTAGAATTAAGATCTGGAATTCTAAAGTAGAACACCCAACACATAATTTAAAATGATTTTTGTGGTTGTTTTTTTTTTCAAGGCTTCTCAAAGCAAATACAACAGCCAACAAGCACATCAAACGCAGCAACAAAATCCACTGAAACATTCAGCTGCTCTAAAAGAAGGATCAGTCTCTTAAGGAGAAAACTACATTGTGTGAGTTTGCAAAGTTTCACACTTTCCCATTTAAACTCCATTTCAGAGAAAGCCTTTGCATACTAACACAATATGCTTTAAAATGGCACTTTGCTGACCTTCCAATAGTCCAGCTCTATGAAAATTCTGTGATGGGTGTAACTTCAGAGAATCTGAAAAACACAAAAAGCATTAGGTACTTTTTATGCTGAATGAGAAAAAAATGCCAAGGATAGCATACATCTCTTATGTAACTGTCATGTATTTTTAAGAACTAAAGCCCATATTTGTGAATATATTCTCTACAAAAAGATGGTTGAATTGTCTCTACATTGGTCTCTAAGCTAAACTTAGATTTTCATAAAGTATTTGTTTCATGGAAAATTATCTGATGATCATTGCCCAAATGGTGTTATGTCTTGACTATTTTTAGCACCCAATTGTAACACATTAGCCCTGCTCCAAGAATCATCTCTTGATGTTGTCTCTTTCTTCTGATACTCAAAACTGCAATATTTGTAAACTACTTCAGGTAACGCTGCCCAGAAAACATCCTACAGGATAGTGACTGCCAACTCAAGTCATCGGAGCAACAGACAATGGCTACAGTTACTAAGTAGGACTCTGTGTACAAACTCAATAGTCAGTTCTATAAAGTCCAGTTACCTTCCAGAGTAAACCTGCTCACTCTGATTCACTTAAACAATTTAAATACACTAATGTGAAGCTGAATCCCCCTTCTTTTTTTTTTTTTTTTGGATAGGCATCAGTGGGTGGATAGATACATCAACCCAAACCTAGAAGAAACACTGAATTTCTCAGGAAGGGGGTTCACGACGGCACTTTTTTTTTTTTTTTAATATGATGACTATAAATAGCTAACAACTCAGTTATGTCTTTTGCCCCCTCCCGGTGGTTTAAAAAGTGGTGAAGAGTGCAGTGGGAGTATTTTGGTTCTTATGCCCCTTGCACGGGGAACCTGTTCTGACACATTCTTGTGGTGCCCAGTATAGGAATTTAACCTCAGTGAAGATCGGCTCAGGTGTTAATATTTCAAACGCTGGGAATCCCCTGCAGGCCTTGGCCAAAAGAGTTTTTAAACGAAAATCTCCGCCCAGACCCCGCTCCCTGCAACGAGCCCTTGAACCCTAAAGAAAATTCTCAAAGGACAGCGCCAGTGCCTGAGCCGGTACTCCTGGGTGACGAAAGGCATAAAACCCATCCAGAGAGAGCACCCCTATCTTTGCAAAAGAGAGGGAGAAGTTAATAATTAGAATGCCACGGAGGTGGGAAGAGGAAAAAAGGAAAATTCGGGCCCTTTCCAGCAACAAGATGACGGGGAAAGGAGGAACGCCTGGTCGAGGGGGGCTGTCCCAACAAGGGGAGGGAGTGGACTAGGCCGGAGGGAGAGGGGGGCAGGACGACGGCGCACAAACAAGCTGGAGGGGGAGAAAAATGGTGACCCCGCACCCAGAGCCGGCTCCAGGCCACGCCGCCCGCCTGGGGGCAACTTTGCCGGGGAGGAGGGTCCGGGTAAGAGGAGTCGCGGCGCGGCGATCGCGG